GAGAGAGAGAGAGAAAGAAGGAAAGAAGGAAGGAAGGAGAGAGAGAAAGAAGGAAAGAAAGAAGGAAGGAAGGAAGGAAGGAAGGAAGGAAGGAAATAAATCACCAATGGCCCTTTAAAAATCAACCAGAGATTTTTTTCTATATGGCAGAAAGAAAGTTTAATGAAGAGAGTATTTGAAAATGTTCTTTTCATTAAACTTTCTTTCTGCCATATAGAAATATTTCAAAATATTCTTCCACCTTGTGGTTGTTTTCAACATAGTTTGAATCACATTGGTACCCAAATCCACAATGAATAGGGCTCTATGTCTAGGAAAGTAGATAGAGTTTATCAGCCTTCAGGCTCTCACTTGGCGGTCTAAATTCTCAACAAGCACCCACACCAAATCTGTTATGTGTTCAAGGATAGAGGTAGGGAGCAGCATAGTGGAGAATGTTTCACTTCCTGTCAGTAAGCATTATGTCAGTGCTGATGATGTCCACTTAGAAAATTTTCTTGTGATAATTTTCACCTTGGGAAAAATCTCCATTTCACTTTTTTCTTGTGTCCAAAGTCTACCCTGTAAGTGCTTTCATCCTAGCTGTAAAACATTTTATTAATATATTTACTTACATGTTTCTTTCCTCTTGGTTGAGAGATCTCTTGAGGATAGGTTGTATCATTTTTCTTTATCATTTCAATATATAGCACTATTTCTGCCATATATTAGTTGCTTAAATATATCTAAGCATATTTTAAGTAACTCTGAGTCCTCTTTAAATTTACTTTTTGTAGCTGTATCTTTTATGTCCCCGATTCCTTTTGACATGTGCCTCTCTGATTCTCTCCCAACACAAAATAAACACACACACACATGAAGTCTTCTTTCCTTCTTCATATGGCTCAGGTTCCCATTTTGATTGGCAGGGAAACTCAATTAACAGTTTAAACATGAGAAGACAATCACTTTCAAAGTAGCTGTGGAAACACTACTAATACTTAATTCAGCATCAGTCTGGCAGGACCTTTCTAGATCATTGTTGATACAGTTTTTCTGCAATTTGTGAGTAAAACAAATGCACCATCTTTTGCAGTGAATAACTGTACAAACATCTAACTGTAGCCAAAATGTCCAGCTTGGCCTTGTTCATAGGCTTTGGATGGGAATAGTTTGTGATTGGGCTAGCAAGTGCCAAAGCAATCAATGAACTTGGTGTGTGTGGGTGTATGTGGGTGCAGGTGTGGGTATGAGTGTTTATGGAGTGGTGGGAGAAAGAAGAAGATTGGAAGGTGAAACGCTTAAGATCATCATGACAGTTTTTCTGATGTTAATACATTGTTGGACATATGGCATATTGCCCTGAAGACAGGAATCAATATTCCTTTACCTGATGGCATGTGGTAGGAATTAAGAAAGGTGCTCTATAAATTTTTCGTAACTGACAATCTTCTACAGCTCCATGTATGAGGATAACATAGATTAAATTTTCATCACAGATATCAGTTTTGGTGCTCTTTGGTATGTCTTCTAGATAAATATGAGAGAGTTTAAGTTGCATCTCGTAGTTCCAATCCTGTTTTAAAAAACAATTTCATAGTCTATTCTAATTTGTTCATGAAGTTTAATATATATTCATAAATAGTCAATTATAATGTTTTAATGCCATTCCATGCAAAGAAAGACAAGTTTATACAAGCACTTCCTACCTCGTAAGACAAATGTTCTCTGATTTTTCTGGCTGTAATAACGAGTCCAATTTTTAGCCACATTTTATGTTCAATGACAGGAGAACATTGCTCAAAAGCATCATACAAGTGAGTTTTGGGAATAAAATATGTCTGGAAAAGAAGGATATAAATCTGATATTTTGCACTTATGGTTTAAGGAATAAGGTTTTTTTGTTTATGTACACCATTAAAGCTAATAATTTAATTAGGTAAGATTCACATAATAGCCTGGAAACTTAATAAACTGTGTCTATCAATGAAAATTGGTATGTCCTTTCCCTGTGTTCTTGGTGACTTTGTCAAAGATCAGTTGGCTGTAAAATGTGGCTTTATTTCTGGGTTTTAAAATTCTGTTCCATTGATCTATGTATATATTTTTAAACTAGTATCATGCTGTTTTGATTATTCTATCTTTGTAGTATAATTTAAAGTTAGGTGATATCATTCCCCCAGATTTGTTCTTTTTGCTTAGGATATTTGAGCTCTTTTTTGGTTCCATATGAATTTTAGGTT